GGAACTTTTGGTGACTTAACTCGTAGAGCTTCCCTGAGCAAGTTATTGCTGGAAGCTTAAGAGTAATTCCGGGGAGCTGGAGAGCTAGTTGGCAAGACAAATCTCGACGGACCTTTTGCTGACTTTTGGTCGGTTGAAAATTTTGTTCTCAAAATTCAACAATTCGTTTGAGCTCTAGTACCTCGTAGAGCTCTTCGGCATCGATGAGCTAGAGGAATTCCGGCGCGGGGTGGAGCTAGTTGGCCGACCCGGCCAGAAAGGACAAAGTGATAACTTTTGGGTGGTTTTGCTAAGATTGGAAAGATATTGGACAATTGGTTTTTTGAGAAAGCAGATTTCTACTCCGAGCATTGACATGTAAACTTTGTTCTCTGAGCAGCTCAGCCCTCTAGGGCCATTTTCTGTACCAGTTCACTTGGAGGAACCGACTTCATGTTGACTCCGAAAAATATCGACTTGAAGTTTTTGTAGAAAATCTCCCAGAAGCTCTCGCTTTGATTCTGAGCTTTCTCACAGATGCAAGGAGCTCTACGAGGTTCCCGGCGGTGACCAGGTTGAGATTCTCGTGGTATTGAGATTCGCTGGTGTGCTGCATTGCTGTTCATTGTCTGTCTGCATTCATTCCCTCTTATTGAACGAGTGGTAGTTACTTGTGTGTGGATCGTTGTTGACATCACGTCGTACGACAGTCCTGAGGCTCAGCTGGCATTGAGGAGAGAGATAGGACTCGAGCATTGGGGTGAAAGTACTGAGGAGTGGTTTCGGCGTCAAAGGAATTTGGACATACCCACAGAAGACTACCAGGACGAGAGAGTCAACTTTGATTACCTTGAGGAATACCAGCCGTGGGATCAGAAAGATCTGCAGGCACTGGAGGCAGCATCAAACAAACGTCAACGTGAGGACGATAGGAGCTGGTTAGATAAATACGGATTGAACGGTAATATTCTTGAAGATATGACTCATGTTGCAGCAGCGGCGGATGCCGCGATGACTGGGGATGGTGAGACTCGATCCAAACGTGCACGTGGAACAGAGATTGAGGAGGAGAGGAAAGTGATGTTAGAAAAGGAGAAGGATCCATTCAAACAGATGATGATGAAGCATGTTTGGAAAACGGAGGATGCCCATGAGGATCTCATCCATGTTGTTCAATCGACGAAGACGGACATCAAAAGAGTTGATGACACACTCAAGTTGCATACGGAGAGAATGGACAAATCAGATGCACGGACAGATATTTTGGAGAAACAGGTTAAGCAAATTTTGGCTGGATCTCCTGCAGCTTCGGTTTCGACTAGTGTGGGCCCTGGTGGCTCCTCTGGTGGTGGTGGAGGTTCGATCCCTCGCGTGCAACAGGAGCGATCGAGCCAGTTCACACCAACTTATCTCGAGCTGAAAGGGTGGGTTACGGATTGGTCGAATCAAGTAAATCGGGGAAATCAAATGATACCCTGGGCAGATGCGGCACAGTTAATTTCAAATATGATTGGGGCACTTCAGGGGGAGGAAAGGAATGCGTACGATAAAGATAAAAATGAACGATTAAACGGAGGAAGATATATGTACGGCAGTGTGAAGGTCGGTTTCAAAGAAGGGACACCACGGGACACTCTTTGGATAATATAGAAATGGATGGATATGGTCTGTAAGGAACCCGCCGATCGCATTGCCCCGCCCCCAGGTTATACGTATCCAGATGCCGATGTTCTCACTCATGATATGGACACGCCAATCGATCCCAGAAAGATTCGTACGTTAGTGGAGTGTGCACCCTGGAAGCGTGATCATGTGAAAGCGGTTGCTCGTTTCTGTGGGACTTGGCGTAGTATGACTTCGGCTCATGTTCAAATCGAGATCCGTGGGGAGGTGGGGCCACCGAGAAGTCAGATTTGGACTCAAGCTGTTCCGAATTTCCGACCCGTTTGTTTTGCGACGTATACGAATACCATTGGGGCTTGGGTTCTTCATGCTGATGCATGGGCTCGTATTGTTTCTTTTTATCTGGCGCTGAAGGTTCCCATGAATGATATACTTCAGGAAGTGAATCGTAGGCAGTGACGTTTGCGGCGCCTTGTCCGAGGCATACGCTTGGCGAGCTGGAACCTGAACAAAGCAGGGGAGGCTCATTTCAAATGTGCTGAGATTCTCCATCATATGAGGGCATGTGGTGGGCTCTTTGCATGTCAGGAAACTCAATACCTAGTGCACGGGGAATTTGAACGCTTGGGGTGGCGCATCAAAACTAGTTCGTGTAGTAAGGCAGCTCTCATCTTCGACAGATCTTGGGCGGCTGCCGTCCGTATGTTTTTCACTTGTTTCACGAGGTTCGTTATCGGTGTCTTTGGGTCAGAGAAGTCACCACTCATTATTGTGTCAGCGTATTTGCCAGACCCTCATGTGGAGGATTGTGTTGAGATTGCTGCGGAGGTATATGAGCAGATCGGTCGTGCTCGCAATGTTCTCCGCACTAAGTTTCCTCAGGCCAGCTTTTGTGTTCTGCTAGATGCAAACGTGGAGATTCCGCCTGGATGCAGATTTACGTATAATGGGGAGGAGTATGAGGCTACTGGAAAGGAAGGTACTCGTACGGACAGAAGGTGGGAGAGAGGAGGAGACGGTACACAGCAGATTGAAAGGAGGAGTCGGAGGAGGAGGCTGAAGGAGCTGCTGTTAGAGTTCATGGAATCGCATGGACTGAAGGCCGCCAACACTTTCTGTACTAGGAGGCATACCTGGGAGTCGTGGGGGGAGAACAAGTTTCTGATTTCGAAGAGGGTCCTGGATTACCTAATGGTCCCTCACCGTTGGGAGTTCTCGGATCTGGAGGTGAAGTGGTGTTTCAAGAGGGGTGGGAAGAAGGAGTTCAGTAGATTATCTGATCACGCTATCATCACGGCGAGTTTCACTACTGACCCTGGGAACGTGATTGTTCGTCGCCCTGACCCCCAGCCTGGTCTGAAGTCTAGGCCGTCTCTGGTCGGATACAAGTGTTCGACTTGGGCTGATGAGCATCGGGCTCGACAGCATGTGGATTCGTATCTAGGCGGTGCTGCCTTTTCAAGGTGTCCGTCTGTGACCTGTCCACAGGGTCTGGAGAGTACTATGCTGGAGGCGTACTTGTCACCGACGGTGGACTACTCCACCACGGGTGCGAGAAGACCGAGAGAGCCGTCCAGGCCGGTGCAGCTCACAAGAGCGGAGGAGGAGGTTAAGATGTGTCCGAAGGAGGAAGTGGAGAGGTTGAGGAGGTTAAAGAATGAGGCTAATCGTCTACGCAGAGGTTATCGACGTGATATGATTATGTGCAGATGCCCCCAACAAAACGAAAGGTCAGATATACTATCAAACATTTAGTGGTGGATGGGAGGGAGACGGAGGACCGTGAGGAGTGGAAGGAGGAGCTCGACAAGTTCGTTCGTTGCAAGGTGTCGTCCGAAGAGATACGCAATTCCACCAACAGTATGATGGAGGAGATCAGGATGAGGGCTGTACATGAGATACGTTCCACATCAGTTGTGGGAATTAGTATGGCGCTGCTTCTCAGAGCACGTGCTCGGCTGAAGACCCAGAGGGCTACTGGGCCAGACGGGATACCGTGCGAGATTCTAAGGAGCTTGCCGTGGTGTGCTCTCAGAGCGATCCAGAAGTTGTTCGATAAAATCATCAAGCTCACGATTCCGTATCCTCAGTCGTGGCGTGAGATTCTCGTCTCTTTTATGCCAAAAACTCCAGGGATTACTAAGTTAAAAGACGGACGTTTGCTGTGTATGCAGAATGCTGTTTCGAGATGGTTCAGTTCCTGTGTTGTTCTCTTGGTTGAGGGTCATATTGAAAGAAAAGGAGTGTTTCGTCATATTGGGTTGTATGGTTTCCAGGAACACCGTCGTACACACGAAATCACGGCTAGCATCAAACACATAGGTCAACATGCTGCACAATGGGGAAAAGGGGAAACGGCACACTTGGCGAACGCTGATGTCCTTCAGGCGTTCGATCACTGCACGGTGGCCAATGTCAGGCGCGGGTTGGATCATGCGGATGTACCCCTTTACCTACAGTATGCTCTACTTGACCCCTTGTGCGAATGCGTAGGCACTGTCTATTATGATGGGATTGAGGTGGTGGAGGTTAGGTGGGACAAATGTATTCGGACGGGAGGGCCCGAGGGACCGTTGGCCTTCAATCTCATTGTTGCTGCTATGTGGGGCTCCACGGTTCGAGAATGGGACGCACTAGGACTAGGTTATCGTATTGAGTATGTGACTGGCTCGACTAGCTGTGTTTCGATTATTAATCATTTCCTTTGGGCTGACAACTGTTATGTATTGGCTCGGAGTCGAGAGGAACTCACACGCATGTTTTACGGTCTAACTACACAGTTACATGATTATGGCATGCGATGGAAGGAATCCAGCCTATTGTACATGGTGTTCGGGGTCGAGCCCCCGCGAGATGTGGAAGGGGAAATACTTCACACTGCTGATCTTGTTCTCTCGGTGGGGTCGGAGGCGTCTGGAGTGTATCGATTTAGAAGGACGACGGAGATGGAGGTGCTGGGGGCTTATATTTGTTCTGAACTACATGTGAATGAACATCATGATTTGGACGCTCGTATTGACTGTGCTCGCAGGGCCTTCTGGGGGCAGGCGACCTTCCGCTCCACGGCCATCCCGTTGAAGGATAAATATGAGAGGTGTGCTCAGAGAGTTCAGAGTATTGTGCTCTACGCGGCGGAAGGATGCACGGTCGATTCAAGTTCATTGAGCGCCCTTCATATCTTTGAGGGCAAGTGCCTGTCTGTAATGTCTCGCTGTATACGGAGGGAGGGGGAAAGTTTTCAGGAATGGAATACGAGGAGGTATGAACGTGCGAGACAACAAATTCATGATGCTCACTTTGTGGGCATTGTACAGAAGTTTCTCAGAGTGCATTGGATGTGGGCAATTGACATCCAGGACTTTGCACACAGGCTGATCACAGATCGGGGGGAGTTGGAGGCGAACTCGATGAGGGCTTGGAGAGATTCTCGTTTCTCATGTCTGGCGTTTGGCCGACTGTGGGATAGAATGAGGACGGATTCAAGTGAGGCTCTCAGATGTTGGGGAAATTGGAAGGAGGCCAGCTCTATGAAAAGGCATCGGGGGGGACAGGAGAGCGTCGGACTCCGTCCGTGGTATTATTCATTGGAATCGTTTTACGGTTTATCCTGGTGGGAGTTCTTTGCTGGAAGTTTTGAGCATTTCATGGATTTCGCTACTAATGTTTGTTCAAGTACTATGTTGAAGTACTTCCAAAAGAAGTGTAAAGGTTTGGCGTCCTCAGGGGTGCCTGTGTTCTTGAACTTGGATGAGGATGGAGGGGTTCATATCGGTCAGGATCGGGAGGATACACCAGCATATAGGGATCGCCTCAGCAAACGTATTGCGTTGCATAATATGCGTTGTACACAGTGGGACCTCGATACAGATGGGATACCACTGGACATCCAAGGGGACTCACTGCTTGTTATTAACTGGCTCTGCGGGAAATGGAAAGTATTAGCTCAGGTATATCAGAAAAGGGTGGATACTCTGATTAATAAGTTGGACGAAATGCAGGAAACTTACTTGGTGAGGCCTCCAGAGGCCGGCCGTGACTTCTTCTCTCATTCGTTTCGGGAATGGAACCAGAAAGCTGACTTACTGACCCATCAGGCCCGTCAGGGCCACGTGTACGCCGATTTCGTTTACCTCAACGACTTTGAATCTCAGTGTTATATTCCTTGCCTTATCAAAGCCGGCTTTGATGGGGGAGTTTGTAGCCGCGGAAGTGCCTGTGGTGCATGGATGCAGATTGGTCTGCGAAACAAGTATATCTTCTCGCGGACCGACATCATTTTCAAGGATGTGTATCTTGCGGCTTGGTGTCTACCACCGAGCGCCACTGTTACAGATGCGGAACTATCGGCGGCGGAGCGCATATGCGAGGTGCTCCCACAGGTTGTGCAGACCTTCTTTGATCATTCGCAGTGATTTGACACACATTGTTTCTTCTTTTCCGTGTCTTGTATATTCCTGCAGCTTCGCTGCTCACTGACTTCCTCGTTTATCTGTGTGTACTTTGCGTTTGATTGTGTCATTGCGGCATGTGATTCTCTTTATTCCTTCAGCTTCGCTGTGTGGTATAAGAGCTGACTGCTTGCGTGATGAATAAGAGGCTCTGTTTTGCCTGAGACTTTGTTGGACCTGGCCTCAGTGGCCAAGACGGTCCCAGCAAAGACGCAAAAAGACCAGGTTGACGGTTCACCGCCGGCGCCAGTATTTTTTCCCATGATATTCGATCTTATTCCCGCTCGCCATCTTGATCTCAGCTCGATCGGGTAACTTTGAAGGCCAAAAAGCAGGCAGGCGGGAACGGCCGTTTCGAGTCATCTTGATACGCGCTGTCGGTTTTCTCAAGATAATTCGAGCTTCAGGACAACTACAGAGCTGGTCAGCGCAGCTAATACATTCAGAATGATCAGGCGCGTTCGCCTGTTGAATCCAGAGGTCTGAATTCGGTCTGCTAGCCGAGCTAGGGTCGCAAACCTATTCGTATTATTCGAGTCATTATAGCAGACGCTCTCGGTTTTCCGTACTTAACTCGATCTGTAGGGCAGCCACAGAGCTGAGAATCACAGAAATCGATTGAGAATTATCAGGCGCGTTCGTCTGTTGAATCAAGAGCTCTGAACTCGGCCTGCTTCCCGAGCTAGGTTCGCGAACCTATTGGTATTGTTCGAGTCATCTTGAGAAGTGCTCTCGGTTTTCTGTACTTAAATCGTGCTGGGGAGGGCTACAGTGCTGCTGGTCACAGGAATCGATTTCGAGACATCAGGCGCGTCCGTTCGTCGAACCGAGAGCTCGGAACTCGGTCTGCTGCTCGAACGAGATCCGCGAAACTGTTGTATTTTTCGAGTCATCCTGAGGTACTCTCGGTTTTCTGCACTTAACTCAGGCTGTATGGGGGGCTGCAGAGCTGGTAATCACAGGAATCGATCCGCAGACATGAGACGCGTCCGCATGTCGCATTCAGAGGTCTGAACTCGGTTTCATACTCGAGCTCGATTGGAAAACTGTTCGTTTATTTTGTTAGAGTCATCTTGAGAGGTCTATAATCGCTTGGGCTGAAAAACTAGTCGTTCTCTGAAATTCTTTTCCCCATTATATATAGTCAGGAAGCTCTACGAGTCCCCCTGCGGTAAGAAAGGTTGACGGTTTACCGCCGGCGCCCAGTTGGCCAACCCGGCCCGGGCGGACAATGTGGTGACCTGGGGTCCGTTTTTCGAAGATGGCGAGAGATTTTGAAATTCGTTTTGCAAATTGAAATTTTTATTCTACGCAGTGAATCATGACGCTTTCGATGGTGCAATTCTCAGGGCTCTAGCTGCAGTATTTTGATAAACACTAGGGGGAACCACAATTCTGTAATATCGAAAATATTTCTCCAGCTGGTATTGAGGAGTGTTTTCTGCTGTTATCTCGGAACCGACTTGGCTATTCAGAGCTCTACGAGGGTCCCGGCGGTAACCTGGTTGACGGTTTACCGCCGGCTCCCAGTTCCGGAGCGCTGGAGAGCTAGTTGGCAAGAAAAATCTCGACGGACCTTTTGGTGACTTTTGGTCTGTTGAAAATTTTGTTCTCGAAATTCAACAATTCGTTTGAGCTCTAGTATTTTTTCCCGTCATATTCGATCTTATTCCCGCTCGCCATCTTGATCTCAGCTCGATCGGGTAACTTTTACTGTCAAAAAGCGTCCCGGCGGGATCGGCCGTTTCGAGTCATCTTGATACGCGTTGTCGGTATTTTGTACTTAACTCGAGCTGTAGGGCAGCTACAGAGCTGGTAAGCACACCTATCGCATTCAGAATTATCACGCGCGTTCGCCTGTTGAATCCAGAGGTCTGAACTCGGTCTGCTAGCCGAGCTAGGCCCGCAAACCTATTCGTATTATTCGAGTCATCTTGACAGACGCTCTCGGTTTTCTCTACTTAACTCGAGCTGTAGGGCAGCTACAGGGCTCATTGTCCCAGAAGTCGATGGGGAATCATCATTCGCGTTTGTCGGTCGAACCGAGAGCTCTGAACTCGGCCTGCTGCCCGAGCTAGGTTCGCGAAACTATTCGTATTGTCTGAATGATCTTGAGAAGTGCTTTCAATTTTCTGCACTCAACTCGTGTTGGGGGAGGGCTACAGTGCTGCGGGTCACATATATCGATTTGCACACATCAGGCGCGTCTGTCGGTCGATTCCAGAGCTCGGAACTCGGTCTGCTGCTCGAACTAGGTCCACAAAACTATTCTATTATTCGAGTTGATACTGTCGGTTTTCTGCACTTAACTCGGGCTGTGGGGGGGCTGCAGGGCTGGGAATCAGAGGAGTCGATTCGCAGACATCAGACGCGCCCGCCTGTCGCATTCAGAGCTCCGAACTCGGTTTGGTACTCGAACTGGGTTGCGAAACTGTTTGTTTTTTTGTTAGCGTTATCTTGAGAGGTCTGAAATCGCTTGGGCTGAAAAATTGTCGTTCTTTGGAGTTTTTTCCCACACTATATATTGTCAGGAAGCTCTACGAGTCCCCCGGCGGTAAGAAAGGTTGACGGTTTACCGCCGGCGCCCAGTTTGGTCGGTTGAAAATACCTCGTAGAGCTCTTCGGCATCGATGAGCTAGAGGAATTCCGGCGCGGGGTGGAGCTAGTCGGTCGACCCGTCCAGAAAGGACAAAGTGATAACTTTTGGGTGGTTCTGCGAATACTTGAAAGATATTGGACAATTCATTCTGAGAAAGCAGATTTTTCGCACCTGTAGTGGGTTATTTCGCGTCTGCCAGTAAAATTTTTCAGGTCTATAGGTGCAGTATTATTATCAAAACACTTGGCGGAACCGACGTTGAATAAAAACAGGAAAACATGTTTTTTCGAGTTTTTTGTTTCTCGCTCCAGAAGCTTTCCCTATGTGTTCGGCGATCGCCGTGCAAGAAAAGAGCTCTACGAGGTTCCCGGCGGTGGCCAGGTTGACGGTTTACCGCCGGTTCCAGTTTTGTTCTCGAAATTCAACAATTCGTTAGAGCTCTAGTATTTTTACCCGTGATATTCGATCTTATTCCCGCTCGCCATCTTGATCTCAGCCCGATCGGGTGAATATTACTATCGAAAAGCACTGTGGCGGGATCGGCCGTTTTGAGTCATCTTGATACGCGCTAACCGTTTTTGAACATAACTCGAGCTTCAGGACAGCTACAGAGCTGGTAAGCACAGCTAATCGATGTAGAATGATTAGGCGCGTTCATCTGTTGAATCCAGAGGTCTGAACTCGGTCTGTTCGCCGAGCTAGGTCTCCAAACCTATTCGTACTATTCGAGTCATCTTGACAGGAACTCTCGGTTTTCTGTACTTAACTCGAGCTCTAGGACAGCTAAAGAGCTGATATTTTCAGAAACCGATCCAGAATCATCTGTTGCGTTTTTCTGTAGAATCGAGAGCGCTGAACTCGGTCTGCTGCCCGATCTAGACTCGCGAAACTATATGTATTGGTCGAGTCATCTTGAGAAGTGCTCTCGGTGTTTTCCCTTAACTCGGGCTGAGGGGGGCTACAGTGCTGGTGGTCACAGGAATCGATTTGAAGACATCAGGCGCGTTCGCCTGTCAAATCCAGAGCTCGGAACTCGGTCTGCTGCCCAAATTAGATCTGCGAAACTACTGTATTGTTCGGGTCATCGTGAGAGGTGATGTCGGTGTTCTGGACTTAACTCGGGCTGTAGGGGGGCTGCAGGGCTGGTAATGACAGGAGTCGATGTGCAGACATCAGACGCGTCCGCCTGTCGCATTCAGAGATCGAAAAATATTTATTATAAGTCGGAATATTGGTAAGTGCTGTCGGTTTTCAAAACTTACGTCGAGATAGGAAGCTCTACGAGTCTCCCGGCGGTAACCAAGGTTGAAGGCTCAAGGCGCTTGACATTTGATCCCCTCTGCCTGGGTAACCTCCAGTGGGATCGAGTGCGCGTCAGGGAGTCACACGTTTGTCGCCTAGAGTGATATTGCACCGCCTTTCATTTGACACGTTTGATCGCCTTGAGTGGTCTTCAATTGATTTGTTTTGCTGGGTGCTTCCGAGGCAGTCTCTGCAATCTTTCGCTATGCCACACGTACGGAGTGCAAGTGCTCGCATTATGCGTCGGGCGCTGGCTGTTCAAAACGGATACTGTGTGCGTTCACCTGTTCGTTTGCCTCTGGAAGGTTTGGTGCCGCCTACGTGTCTCCCACCACCAGGGCTGGAACGGACGACTGCCGATTTGGTTCTAGATTATCTCTTGTTGCGCGATCCACTTGTTGTTAAATGCAGTTTGGAGGAGGAGGAGGAGGCTGACATTACGACTGTTTCGGAGAACCTTTCTTGCCGTATGCTTCAAGCCAGATATCCATGTGCCCCTTCGGCAAATGCTGGAGTGCTGGCTGCGGATTCCGTGTTTGATGTTGGATTGCAGACTCGGTATAATCATTTGGAGGTGGAGCAAGCTGCCGTTACGACACCCTCGGAGCATTTTTCTTGCAGTTTGATGCGGGAGGAGGTTGGTCAGGGATTCGGAGGCGATCAGTTCTCTCAGATGATGGTGGTTTGCCCGCGGGTCTCTTCGGTAGATATTGGAGTGCAGGCTTCTTCTAGTACGGATGTTGCGGACTTTCATTGTGAAGTCGGCTGTCAGACAGAGAGTGTCGTTGGGATGGAGGGAGGAGCTTCAGGAGTTCTTCTTGGGAAAGTGACTCTGGCGGCGGAGGAGGAGCTGGAGGCACCCTCGAGTGAGGAGTCTTCTCCGAACGTGCAGTCTGATTCTGATAGCCGCGCCTTGTCAGGAGCGTCCCAGGGGTGTCTGAATCGTCCCGTCACGCTCAATGAGGTATCGAATCCTGTACGAGGTCACCGCAAAGGCAGAGGCAAAGGCCAACGATGTCATCGCAGCGCCAAGCCGGCCAAGAGCTCTAAAGGCGCCAACATACGAGGACAAGAGTATGCAGCTTTCGGTTTTGCGACAGAAGAGGAGTGGGATGAAGCTATTCGTGGCCACTGGTATGCAACTTTCGGTGTAGAACAGCGAAGGCAGGATGACATGAAGTGCTTACTACTTCAGACGATGCATAAGATGGATGACAATACTGAGAGGATCCAGGACGCCATAGTAGTTCAGGGTAGTAAAATCGATAATGTTCAGACCCAGGTACAGAAGCAGGGTGTCGCAATTTCCAGCTTGGACACAAGGTACAGAAGCTTGGAGGCTAGACAAAATCAACTTGAGGCCTTCGTCCAGAGACTTCAGGGACTGGCGCGAGCAGGTTCTGTGGCGAGTGCTGCGTCTACGAGGCCTGTGTTTACGAGGCCTGCTAATGCTATACATTATACCTGAGTATATGCTGCCTGCCGCCGCCTCTCTTTGTTGCTTGCTTGTATTGTGTCACGTGCTTGTTCAGTGAGACGGATTCAGAGACAGGTTTCATTCATTTTCTTGATCGTTCCGACGTGCCTGTTGATTGAGACGTGTTGTTGCCTCAAAGAGGTTCGATAGTATTTGATCTCATGAGTTCATCACTTCACATTTGACGTTGAGCAGAAGACTCTTGTCATACCGCGGGTTGTACAAGCGTATTTCGGATTTGAGTTGATGTGATTAGGTGTTCGCTGCTCGCTCATGCCATGCTTGTGCGTGTCGTGCGTGCGTGCTTCACTTCACACACTCATAAGAGCTTAGGCTGTCGTCTTCCTGATCGTCAGGATCGGTGAGGCTTCGCCTGCTCCCTATACGTCCGCTTCCTTGCTTCCGACTAGGCTGGAAAGCCTGCGCAGTCGACCGCAAAGTCCGCAAAACCAAGGTTGACGGTTTACCGCCGGCGCCTAGTTCCGTGGCGCTCGAGAGCTAGTTGGCAAGACAAATCTCGACGGACCTTTTGCTGACTTTTGGTCGGTTGAAAAATTTGTTCTCGAAATTCAACAATTCGTTTGAGATCTAGTATGTTTTTTCGTGATATTCGATCTTATTCCCGTTCGCCATCTTGATATCAGCTCGATCGGGTACCTTTTACTGCCAAAAAGCGTCCCGGCGGGATCGGCTGTTTCGAGTCATCTTGATACGCGTTGTCAGTATTTTGTACTTAACTCGAGCTGTAGGGCAGCTACACAGCTGGTCAGCACACCTATCGCATTCAGAATCATCAGGCGCGTTCGCCTGTTGAATCCAGAGGTCTGAACTTGGTCTGCTAGCCGAGCTAGGTCCGCAAACCTATTTGTATTATTTGAGTCATCTTGACAGACGCTCTCGGTTTTCGGCACTTAACTCGAGCTGTAGGGCAGCTAAAGAGCTCATATTCACAGAAATCGATTGGGGGTCATCAGACGCGTTCGTCTGTGCAATCGAGAGATCTGAACTCGGCCTGCTGCCCAAGCTAGGTTCGCGAAACTATTCGTATTCTCCGAATCATCTTGAGAAGTGCTCTGAATTTTCTGCACTCAACTCGTGCTGGGAGAGGGCTACAGTGCTGCTGGTCACCGAAATCGATTCTAACACATCAGGCGTGTCCGTCCGTCGAACCCAAAACTCGGAACTCGGCCTGCTGCTTATCTTGATCTCAGCTCGACCGGGTACCTTTCACTGCCAAAAAGCACTGTGGCGGGATCGGCCGTTTCGACTCATCTTGATACGCGCTGTCGGTTTTCTGAACTTAACTCGAGCTTCAGGACAGCTACAGAGCTGATAAGCACAGCTATTCGATATAGAATGATCAGGCGCGTTCGCCTGTTGAATCTAGAGGTCTGAACTCGGTCTGCTAGCCGAGCTAGGTCCGCAAACCTATTCGTATTATTCGAGTCATCGTAGCAGACGCTCTCGGTCTTCTGTACTTAACTCGAGCTGTAGGGCAGTTACAGAGCTCATAGTGACAGACATCGATTGGGAATCATCAGGCGCGTTCGTCTGTCCAATCGAGAGCTCTGAACTCGGCCTGTTGCCCGAGCTAGGATCGCGAAACTATGCGTATTGTTCGAGTCATCTTGAGAAGTGCTCTCGGCTTTCTGCATTTAACTCGTGCTGGGGGAGGGCTACAGTGCTGCTGGTCACAGAAATCGATTTGGAGACAACAAGCGCGTCCGTCTGTCGAACCCAGAGCTCGGAACTTGGTCTGCTGCTCGAAATAGGTCTGCGAAGCTATTGTATTATTCGAGTTATCCTGAGAGCTGCTTTCGGTTTTCTGCACTTAACTCGGGCTGTAGGGGGGCTGCAGGGCTGGTAATCACAGGAGTCGATTCGCAGACATCAGACGCGTCCGCCTGTCGCATTCAGAGGTCTGAACTCGGTTTGATACTCGAGCTGGGTTGCCAAACTGTTCGTTTTTTTTTTTTTTGTCAGAGTCATCTTTAGAGATCTGAAATCGCTTGGGCTGAAAACTAGTCGTTCTCTGGAATGTTCTTTCCACATTATATACTGTCAGGAAGCTCTACGAGTCCCCGGGCGGTAACAAAGGTTGAGGGATTACCGCCAGGCGCCCAGTTCGGGCGCGGGGTGGAGCTAGTTATCACACACGGCCCAGGCAGATAATGTGGCATTTTTTGGTGGTTTTGCGAATTTTTGGAAGATATTTGACAATTTATTTGGAGAAAGCAGATTTTCGCGCGTCACATCGGCATGTAAATTCTCTCTGAGAGCAGTTGAGCTCTCCCGATGCATTTTTGCATGAGTTGACTTCCAGGAACTGAGCGAATATAAACATAGAGAAATTGAAAATTAAGATTTTCGAAAAATCTATGTTTTTCACTCTGCGTCGATTCCCTGCACTCTTGCCAGTGGAAGGGGCTCTACGAGGTTCCCGGCGGTGACCAGGTTAACGGTTTACCGCCGGCGCCAGTTTTGGACGCTTCCAAGTGGTCGATCTGGCCAGAAAGGACAAAGTGATAACTTTTGGGTGGTTTTGCAATTTGTTGAAAGATAGAATTCATTTTAAGGAAGCAGATTTTTACTCCGAGCATCAGTATCTTAACTTTATCCTGCTCAAATCTGAGCTCTTTCGAGACAGATGTTCTATCTAAACATTTGGAGGAACTGACGTCACGTTGAGACCGAGAAATGCAAATATTTTGTTTTCCTAGAGAGGCTCTGAGAAGCGCTCTGCGGTGACCAGGTTGACGGTTCACCGCCGGCGCCAGTTCATGAGAAAACAGATTTCTTGCATCTGTAAACAACTATGAGGGCCTGTCTGGGACACCAAAAAAATCAATTTTTCCCTTTTTCGAGAAATGCTTTCAGAAGCATTCTCTTTCGACTCTGACTCACACGCGCGAAAGGAGCTCTACGAGATTCCCGGCGGTAACCAGATTGACGATTCACCGCTGGCGCCAGTTCGCGCCGAAGGCGGCTGCGTCGACAATGCAATCGCTTCAGCGGGGGCGACGCGAACGGTGAAGCATGCGCGCGCATGGTAGCCAGTGGGTGATACCCACCCTCTCGCGCTGCTTCTCCCGCCTTGCAAAGCTCGCGTCGACAGCGTCTGCGTCGATGATTGCGACTTGTCTACGACGGCGGCTGGAAGGGCAGCCAGGCCAACGGCAAAAGCGAGGCCTACTGGAACCAGGGGCAATGCTGCGTCTGCGACGGGCCAACGCCGTAACGCAAAATCTAATGCGGCGATGCCTGGTCTTGAAGCCTCTTCTGTGGCTTCTGATTGCAATAAACACCCGCAGGAGGAGATTCCGTCCTTCGGCAAAGTCATGCGCCAACTGGGAGCCAGCCGAATGCAGCTAAACCCACGGCAACGATTGTGAGCCGACGACGCTGGCTCTTGCGCCTGCGCATAACGCGCGTACGAAGAACGCAATGCCAAAACTGCGTCGTCGTGCTCCTCGCTGAATATCCGCATTCGCACATTACACGAATGCCTTTCTTAATAGAGAGGTTGGGTGGAGAAACGCTAAACCCTAAAGGGCTTTACTGTGGGTGGTCTGGGGCGGGAGTGCAAGTTCATAGCGCGAGCGGCTTGGGCAGCGATCCCCCCCCAACAACCTTGATGCGGTGGTATCGCAGCCAGCGCGCGCATGCGCCAATGCAGGCCCTAAATGCTAAAGCCTAAGTATAAATCCTAAACCCTAAAACCTAAAACCTAACCCTAAACCTTAAACCCTAAACGCTAAACTGCAAGCCACGGCAGTGCATCGTCAGAAGCCCGTGGCGCCTGGCCGAGCGATCAGCGAGTCCGCCCATGCGCGCACGCCGCACCGACGAAGCGGCGATAGCTGCTGAAGAGGATGCGCATCCCGCGGGTATGCTTCTGAGAATAGAAAGAACCCTTAACCGAAAGCTCCAGCCAAAGGGTGCGCTACGATCGGTGCCATCGCCTGGGGCTCCAAACCTATGAAAATACAGCTTGCGGCGCCCTTTCGTCCGTCCGTGGGCCCGGACATATGAAAATACAGCGTGCGGCGCCCTTTTAGCCGCCCACGAAGCCCAGACGCTTCCAGAAGCTCTCGGGAGCTCCCAAGAGCCTCAGCCCTAGCAAGCGGGTTCTCCGCGAGTCGTTACATCCCCTGAAGCTGCAAACCTATGCAAATACAGCATTCGGGGCCCCTGGGTGCTCCAAATCTATGACATTACCGTGCGCGGCGCTCCAAGCGCTTCCAAACGCTCCAGGCGCTCCCAGGGACTCTCCAACCGCTCCCGGCACGCCCCCAGGCGCTTCCGCAAGCGCTCCCAGGCGCTCCCAGGCTCCCAGGCGCTCCCGAACTCGCGAGGGGGTGCCAGACCCACCCCCTCGCGCTCCCCCTCCCCCCGACACGAATCTTTGTGGCTCGCCATCGCGTGCGCTACACTTCCTGCCCGCATTCATGCATCCTCCGAGTGCCGAACGCGCGTGCGACGCATGCGACGGCGCCCGCGGTCCTTCTCGCGCCATGCTCAGGCTGGTGTCATGCGCACAAAAGCAGTGTTCACCGCCAACGCCCGCGCTCGTGCTCGCGCCATGCTCATGCCGGTGCCATGCGTACACAAGCAGTGTTCACGTCTGTGCCGCGCTCTTGCACGTGGCGCACACGGTCACCACGCGTGCGTTATACATGCGAATGCGAACGCGCACGCGCTAATACCCACGCTCGCGCTAAACATCCGACGCATCAACGCATGAAGGTTTTTCTCAACGCATCGACACGAACCGCTGAACAGTCGCTGCCCTCAAGCAATGCACGGCATGTCGATGCTGGCACAAAGAGCTTCGGGCCTCGGGGCCAGAGCGAGCATCCGCGCCCCGCCGAGCCACGATGTAATCACAGAGCGCTGCTGCCGCTAAATCATGCAAACGCTGGAGTGAAGCTGCTACGCTCTACATGGCCCCCAATCATATAATCATCCGAGATGGCCACGCGGCTGAGCGCAGTATATCCGGCAGCTGGCCTCGGCCATCCATCTAAGTATATTGTGAGATGCGAAAATTCATCGCCCTGGACCTTATATATCGTGCTAGCGTATCCTAAACGAATCGGAAAATACACAGCATTATTCTTCTCGCGATCAGTCCAACGGAAAATAGCGCGGTGCCCCGTCTTTGTCTTCACGCGCAGGACTTCGGCCTCGTGGTAGTTCTCGACCACGCATAACATACCATTCACGCAATCATCCTCTTTGCGAACGTTCTTCGTGAGGTAAATCTGCATGCCCTTGTAAATCGGCACAGCGCTCGGCAGGGGGCGGCGATCAGTGCGGAACTGCCCATGCTCGTAGTTCTCTGGGTTCAGTTCCACGTCGCCTGGAAGGACTGCCAGCGGGGACTTCCGACCATACAGAGCCTTCACTGCAGCTTCGTTCACTGCATTGGCTCCCTTCCGGGTACACGTGACGACGGTCGTCTCCGGGTGCGCTTCGTAGAGCTTCCTCAGATCCGTCGGCGTCGGATCGCCCATCTTCC